CTCCTTATTTTTTTTTTCTCAAAGAAGGTAATATTTTTTTCTTTCTTGCATAGCTGGTGAGTTTTAATAAAACTTTTACTGTAAATAGCCTACCAAACATGACCAATGATCACACCTTTATATTAAAAAGTGAATAATGAATTTTTCTAAACTTCAAAGACATACTTCTAGATAACTACAGCTACTTCTTCAGCTTGTTTGCGATCACTTGAATGACTTTTTTTGCTCATTGTGCTCTCTTAGTCTGGTCTCTGCTGTAAACCTTGTAACAAACTGGAAAATTCTGAGATCAATTTATAGGAATTTCTTGATTCACTGAGGGTTGCAGAGCTGTGTGAAGATGGCAGCTGTTGCTTGCTCCACGGAGTTTTGTGGTTGGTGGTGAAGCTTTGGAGGGGCTGTTCCTGGGGGTAGGGATGGGCTAATCTGGGGCCAAAATAGCATAAGGGTTATGTGAGTTTAACTGCCTAAGCAATAGGTGTCTAATCTCCTTGGACACCCCAACCTGACCCCCAGTTGCTTGTCTACAGGAGGGAAATCTCCTGTGGGTCATGCCTGTCAGACATGGGCAAACATCTTGGAAATATGCTAAATTAGCATCTGACTTGCTTGAAGGACTCTGTGTATGTAAGTTAGCAATCCCTTAGTGTGCAAAGGCAGTGGATACATTCCAATGGATGTAGGAAATGCAATTCTGTGTGATAGTTATAGATACAAAATGTAACAAACTCCCTCAATTATTGTCTAAAACTGCACAGAGCAAATTTCAAGGCTTAGCACCTGAAGCTGCTGTCCCAGAGCAGCCAATTTAGGAACAGATGCCTGGATTCACTTGTCAGCTGGCAGCCAACATGCAGCAAATCTAACTCAGAAGGTAAGGTCAGGAAACACTCATATGAGAAGCCTTCTCACACTGGTCAGAAGTGTGAGCATTTCATGACACAAATGCAGAAGTAGGTCAAAAATGAATTTATTTTTAGTGTTAATGCTCACTCGAAATTTGAAGACAAGTGACCACCTCTATTTAAGCAACTGGTGTTGACAAGGCTTCCACCAATATTTTTACAGGGATAAATACTTGAACTTTGTTGTTATACAGTAGGATTGTGTACTATATAGCACTTGTTTCCTTTGCCAGCATGTAAAAGCCAACAGCACTACTTATAAACATTCCTAGTGTGTCTCTAGATCAGAAATGTATCTCGTGTCAGAAGTGGGTTGGAGCACTATCATAAGGACTGTTGCAGAAAGAAGCATTCTGTCTAAATTAAATCCAAGGACTTTATCTCACCCGATGTCATCTACAGTGACCTGAGCACCCACCAGCTGCCTTGTCCTAATCCTCATATCTGCAAGAAGTTAACTCAGTTGTGGGCTGCTGAAGGGACTAGGATTCTGTAATATATGACAGTTGGATACGTGATAGTAAATCCATAAGAAGATTTTCTTGCTCCATTTATGTTGTATTTTGATTGTAGGCTTATTTAAAATCCAGCGCTGCGGGAGTACAGAATTAAGTAAAAGACAATGAGCGAGAGATTCCTGGCCCAGCAAATACAAGCCTGCACTCAGAGACTGAATTACACTCATGGAGGAAGCCAGGTCTGCAATAAACCAGAATCCATGTGCCCTGGATCCCATCATCCATCCTACCTCCATCCCGGAGCTGGACCAGCAAGGCTGCACCGGTGAGTGCTTGTCCTTAATCCTTGGCTGTGCTCCCTAAGATCCGTTCAGACTGACTGTCCCTCAGAATGGATTGTTCAGGATTCTCTTGAGCCCAGGGATCTAAAAATGATCCTTAGCATCACAGTCCTCTGCCTTGGGAGTGGGGCTATGGAGAGCTAGTAGGGAGCTAACCAGGCACTGCGTTCAGCACGGAGCTTTGGGACATCAGTGACAGGATCGCTTGTTTTAAAGACTTAATAACACATTCGATTCCCACCTGTAGATGTCTCCCAGTAATAATCCTATCAATTTGTGGCAGGCATAAAAACTACATGTGTTTAATTTCAGCATGGAGAGTATAACTGTACAGTAGTGTGATTTTCCTTGTGTTAAAAATCTGTTGCAGCCATGTTGCACATTGCAAAAACTAATCTTACAAATAAATTAGAATTTTTTTTTAAATTACTTTTGCTCAGAGACAATACATTAATGCTAAGAGATACTGTCATGTGTATTTATTAATCTCAAATATAGGTGTTTACATGTTTATGCATAGTCATTTATGTGACTGTGTACATGTGTGTGTATGTGGTGTATGACTGAAGGATGCCTTGGAATTCCCATTGTGCTTACATTCCAGACAAAGATATTCCTGCCAGTTCTGTGTTGTAGTTCAGAATGAGATAAAGTACAATATCATGCAATTTACGTGTAAAATACAAAATGAAAGGAATGATAAGCACATTTTTTCCCTCTAAATTCAGCTTATTTCTTGGTATTTTGTCAAATGGACTTGGTTTATCCTTTCTGGGTAAAAAAGCACTGTGCTTCAGCAACTAAATGATTAAAACCTGTGCAGTTTGCTTGGGGAACAAGTAGCAAAAATGTCATTTGAGCAGTGCTCCGTGAGTGCTCAGAAGTGTTCCAGTTAGTTGATGACTGTCCTCACTGCATGTTCACTTTTCTCACTGTAAAACCTAATTTTGTATTACCTCCCATGTCAACTAGCCATTCATCCAGCTCCCTTATTGTCACTCAACAGTGGTGGCAAGCCACAGGAACAATCACATCTTCCAAGACTGAAATGAGATGTTTTTTGTTCCAATAAGAAGGACTGGCTGATCTCCAGAGCTTATCTGTCTCTATCTGCTTTTCTGCCAGAGCCTTCTCTTGCTCCTCCTCTGCTCTTAGATCAGTGCAGATGTCTTCATAATCATGGAGGTGCTTTCAGTGCCTTATTATTTCATAATGAAATTCACTCTTTTTTATTTACACCCCCCGGCTTTCATATATAAAAAGCTCTTGAATCAGGACATAGGATGCTGGGAGAACTGATATAGGAACTTGATAATTAGATGAAGACTTCTAATCCCAAAAACTGCAATGCTGCACCAGGCCCTGATGGATTTGGCACAGACAGCAAGCACTGCTGGTTGACTCTGGCATGGCTGGGAATAGGTGTTTGTGGGCCTGCACACAGCCAGGACAGATATTAGATGTTTCTTATTTCTCTCATTTTGTACAGCTTCCTGTGCCAGCTGTAGTCACTCAACAGGTCCTAAAACAACCAGCCTTCTCTCAGAAGTTTTTTTCCTTCCAGAGCAATGGGTCCCCTTTGAAGCATGAAGCTTATCCTAGAAGACTGTTCTGATGCTCTCTGTTGGATCAGATGTTGAAGGAATCACCAGCACTTCAGGAAATCCCATCCTAGCGGGGTTTAGGCAGATGTGCTGGCTAAAATTGCATACCAGGGATTTAAGCAACTTCCACCAATCTGAAGGAGCTGCCTGGCTCTTCAGAGACTCCCTGGCTGCCAACAGAGGCCATCACACTACACATGAGTGCTTGAAAGTCCCTGTAGATGTGGCAGTAAGCTGCAAGGCGAAATGATCACAGCTGGCCACTAATTATGTGTGTCACATTGTCTGGAGAACAGAGGGAAAGACCTAGGGACAGATTTGTGTTGGTGCTGAGCACACTCACAACTGATCAGGAACTGATTGCAAATATGCTTTAAGTACATGTAAGACTATAAAAAGGCAGTTTTAAAAAAAAAGAATGTGGCACTATAACTCTTTTGATGGAGTTATAATCCATAAATTAAGATAATACTTTTGGAGCATATTTCTATACTTTTGATACCCTTAACAAAATATTGCACAGAAGTCCATAATTTAAGTACAAGTTGTTTGAAGGATTTATTTCTTTAAAAATATAAGCAGGAAACTTTCACTAAAGGTCCTTTATTTTTATTTTGAAAATTATTTCCTTATCAACTTCTTTGTACAGTCTAAAAAGTGGCAAGGCAAACACCTTTTATATTTGCTACAGGCTCCACTGATAATTCAGGTTGGTCACCCAAGACTGATCAGCACAGCTTAAGTTCTAGCTTTAGATACTCCCTGTGCCTAAGTTTCTTGAGTGTAAAGGTAGAGCTGGTATACAGGTTGTTAAATTAGCATTATTTTAAAAGTCCAGCAAGAATTTGAGGTTATCAGTTCTGGAAAGCTATAAATAATTTTAAAACATAAGACAAGAATTTTTGGATTCCTCAATACTAACTTGTTAATGACTTTAAATGCACCATTGTCAATTTGTTATAGTTCAGGATGTGGAGTGATTTTGCAATATATAGATTTTCTTCATATAAGAATTAAAGTTTTATTTCACATACTCTTTCCCTTGCTCCCCCCCTCCCCACCCCATGCATAATTCTGAATCCAGGAATCCAGAATATTTCTGGGTGATTCCTTGGTAAATAATAGAGAGATACTTTTTGTTTGGCAGGTAAGAGGCAGGTACTTTTAGAAGTATGTTTTTTTCTTTTTTCCCCTGATCTCAGTCCTTGCTCTACAGGACTTTGAGGACCTGCAATTATTTCTACCACCATCGGAGAAATCACTTAAAGGCAAGGGTTTGCTTAAGTGTTTTACTGATTGAGCTTTTATTGTGCTGGAGAGTATCAATTAAAAAAAATAAAAAAAGTCCCGTCTCCCTCCTGATTCAAAACATCTAAAGAAACTGAGCACCATACAGAGAAGTTAAACCTCTAGAAAACATTTTATGAGGCATTTTAATGAAATGTGAAGGGTACTTCTAAAATCCTTAGCTTTCATCAGCCCTTGTCTCGTCTATCAAAACACCCAAGTTAATCAAAAACGGGAACAAAACGCGAGGAAAACAAGGATCCGGCAGGCGGATCCGGCAGGCGGCACTGCTCGGGATAGCTCCAGCGGGATCCAGCGGCACCGCCGCACCGGCGGGAGGAGAGCTTTGCATCCTCCCGGGAGGTTTTTGCTGTATTTTCTTAAAGTAATCAAGAGTTTGTTGCTAGCGAAAAAAAAATAATTGTACGCACTGCCGTAGTGGTGGCCTGCTGGCTGCTGCTTATGCCTGATGCTTCACTTCGTGATAACTCTTCCCTCTGCCCGTTTTGGTTTCAGCAGCTTCAGCCTCCGTTCTGCCAGGTCACTGGTGGCGGTGTCAGCGCTAGGAATTCCCTTCCTGATCCCGCCTGAGCTGCTGTGAGAGACTCTGCCGAGGGGTGAGTCTGCCCTTGGATGTGCATGTGCTGCTGATTTGCTTCCATAAAGGGAAGCAGGGACCTAAATGCTCCCTCTGCAAAGGCATTCAGGGACTGGAAAATTTCACTTTCAGATACGTTAGTGCCTAGAAAAATCCTTTGTCCTTAATTACAAGCTCAGGCTTCCTTGAATGAGAGTACTCGCGGCATTAGACTGGGCATGGTGCTCATGTTCGGGGTGAACAGAGTTCCTTGCCTGTTTTTGTTTCCTATTTTTATTTGTGAATTCCCGTCTCAAGTTTGGTGCTTAAATCACACCATTCTTTTCATGTGAATAAGCAGGCATTTTTTGCATCACTTTTTGACTGGTGGCTTTGGCTACTACTCTTATTTCTGGGAGGGGACGTGTGAGTACCCTTAGTACCTCTGAGATGTAGGGGAAGTAGACATTATTACCACAAGGAACAGCTTTGATATGAACTGCTGAAGGCAGTACGCAGCTTCCTTCCTAGGATTCTGTAATCTGAGGGACCTAACTTTTAGTTAATTCTTATTATCAAGCAGATGAGAACTCTGAAAATAGGTCTCTTCCCTCTTGTTCCCCTGGGTATAACAAACCATAAACTTTCTGGATCCTTGTGCTGGAAGGACCTGCAATTTTTCTGCAGGTTGCCACAATCATCTGGGATGAACTCTCTCTCTGGGGTAGATAATTCTCTTTAGTTTGAGAACAGCATGAGGAATTCTGGTCTTTGTTGTCTTTTGGACTCTTCAGCTGGGAAACAAGTGCTGTTTTAAAGTGTTGTGGCTTTTTTTTTTTTTTAAATTTTAAATTTTTTTATTTTTGCTGACGTAGTCATTGACCTGTTGACTAAAACTGGATCTGAGTGACTGGTGTAATCACTAGCCCTGTTGCACAGATTATTCTCTCAAACACTTGAGCCAACATATTTTAAGACAAATTGTATAAAATGGAACGAGTAGACTGGGAGGATCACATTCATACATCCTAGTTGAAATTTCCATTATGTGGTTGGAAAGGCAGAAAGAAATCTTCCCAGGATTTGGTGCTCTGAGAAAGTGTCAGGAGAATTTGTTTGGCAGTGACGGTAGCCCCCTCCCTTGTAGATTGATACATCCTTTCAGGAGAGAGCAAGACTGCAAGTGCCAGACTAGAGGTCAGCCCTACCCTTCTCCATCAAGCCCCTGCTGTGCAGTTCAAGCAGCTCCCTGCTCAGCATGCAGGTTTTCATAGTTCCTACTTTTAGCCCTATGTAAGATCCAGCCCTCTTTGCTTCTGCAGGTCCCAACCTTAATTGTATCCATTTTGTTTCCCTCTGTTCTTCTTGACACTATCTGGTTTTGTTTTGGTTCTTGAATAGAAGACTTAGAAATCCCAGTTTCCCCATTTCCTCCCCTTTTTTTCATCATCTTCCATCAGCACACCCGAGGGGCAACTTGCTGGCAATGTGCTTTGCAAGTCAGCAGGCTCTTGAAGTAAACAGCATTATTTTTCTCCTGACTAGTTTGACTGCTAGGAAAAACAAAGTGGAGTGGAACATCTCTTTTATAGATGCCCAAGGGCAAGACACTCTTGGAAGGACCGATTCCCTGATTGTAAGGTTCTGGGGATTATATCCCTAACAAGATAGACCTGGCAACCATGTCCATTATTTCTTTGGCGTAACCCTACTTAGCTAATAGTGAATTGTATTCCATCTTATTGGTACTGGCCAGACATGGAGGTGGGGGAGTGTTGCCTTCAGCTGCTGTGCGTAGCGTGACTGCGTAACTAGAATTGGGTAAAGCACAGGCTTCAGCAGGGATGAATGGTAACTTAGGCACTTACTTCTCAACTTCTAAAGGCTCAAGAAAAATAGCCTTCACTGAGCAGTACTGAGCAGCTTGTTCCTCCAACATTTCTATTTTTAAAACTTTCAGTGGCAATTTGAGCTGGTGTTTTCCAAGTGCATACAACAGCTGGCTTACTTTGCTGTGTGTCACTCTTCAAAAAACCAAAATAAGACCAGCCAGAGACCAGGGAACACTGGATTCTCCACTATCTCTTACCCCAGGCAAAAGATTCCATAAAAACAAAATTTCAGACAAGTAAATATTAATATTGTCCATTGCCATTTCCTACTAAAATAAGTAGTTTGAGGTCATCTTTTCTGTATTAACAATGTATGGCTTAAAATACAAGCACTCTTTGTGCTTTGTTATTGTTTGCACGACTGAGTGGTTTAATAGATATATGCTGCAATGGATGGCTTAGAAATTAAATATAAAAAGGCAGCCATTGCCACTGGGGAATAGGGTACCCTACCAATCAAGACACAGACTCCACTTACCAGGCTTACAATGTAATACTCTTTTAAAAATTTATTTAATGCAGGGCTGGAATTTATGCATCATAAAGGGATGAGGCAAATCCCAATGTCCAGTCCTTTTCAGCCTTTGGTAGAAACTTTGACCATTAATACAATAATATATTTAGTTGCCTAAATTTGTAAGGTCTGTTGCAATTTTGCCTGAATGTGAAAACAGAGGCCTTTCTGGGCACCCTGTTCTTACTTTTTTTTCTGAATAAGAATGTCACGACATTTTAAAACCTATGGGCACTTCCTTTTCTTCTGCTCCTTAATTGAACACCAGGATACATTTTTAACTGCTCCTTCATTGTGGTTCTGCAACATGCACAACACTGTTGTCTTGTCTTTCTTTTGTCATTTCTCTTCCTTCCTCTTTAGAAATTTTATCTCCCAAACAAGGTGTAGCTCAAAATGGTTTTTCATCAGAGAAAATTTTAATTCCTGTTTCTGTTTGCCAATTGCAAAACATAATAAACGTGTTTGCCTCTGGGCTTGACAATAAGCTCAGATATTAATTCTGCAACAATCACTTTCAGAGTTGCTAGGCTGCAATTATAGTTGTGTTAGCAGGTGTGAATTATTTAGTTGAAGTCAGAAACCAGTCTTATTTAGAATAAACAAGTTTCAGGTGCAGTTTGGCCATTCAAAATGTTTTAACTGCTTGACAGAGTAGGTTGTATCATTATAGGTTGGATTAAATTTTGCTGAAATGAGTATATCTTTCATTTAAGATAGGTTTATGAAGATCATGGGCGTACATTTCAGCCTCAAGCAGAGGCAGTCAAGGCATCTTGGAAATGTGATATGTGCAGATGAGCTGGGTCTATCAATTATTTTGGAAGTACCGGGTATGTGGATGAGAGAATAACTCTAAACGATAAAGGAAAAAAATTACGGTGAATATTGTATAGCATCTGTGTGTGGTCATGACAAGAGTGGGAGTGATGGAGTTTAAGGGTACAAAGCACCATGCATCATGAGATGAGCCTGGCTGAAGTTTTGTAGCTGGCTGAACTTATTTTGCACAGCTCTCTTCTGCTTTAGGGAAAAAAAGTGTGTTCATCCATAGCCATGTCCCTTTCACCTGTTTGTTTGGTAAATACTCAGCAGATGAATTTGCTGAGAGAATTTTAGTGAAGGAGGAGTGAAGGGACAGACAAACACCAAACAGGCAAATATTGGAATTTGAACCTGAAACATCGTCAGAAGTTACCCTGGCAACAACCTCCTGAAGTTACAGGTGGAGAGGGAAAGAGAGATGCTGTCCTGAGGATGAATCAGTGAGTTGCCCAATCTGGGATAACCAGCCTCAGGGAAGCTGTTTGAGGATGGATTGTCCTCTGAAGATGCTACTGTGCAACTAATGTTGCACATTATTCATTGCTCAACTGTTTCACAAATAATTTTCAGTAGCCCAAGAAGGGCTCTTATCAGGTTCAGTGGAAGACTTTCACTGATTTTGCCTCTCTGCAAGGATAAGGTCTTTGAATCACACAGTGCTGGCTGGTAATTCTCAGAAGGAAGAAGTTGAATTGATTTTTCTGGTTCTTGCAGCCAGGGAATGGAAACAGTTTGTGTCATCTTCTTTGGACATTGAAATAGGAAAGGTTAAACAGGAGCAGGATGCAAGTAGCAGTATGAATTATAAGGGAAGAGTATGTAGGGTGTAGTATAGTCACTTCCATGTTACTTCAAGGGTGGAAAGACAAAAGCAGAAACTTAGACTTTTTCTTTCTGTCTGGGAATTCTTCTAAATAAAAAGTTATATCAATGATGGCTAACTGTTTCACTGGGTTCTCTTTAGTGGACTCACTTACAAATCCCCAACTCTTGGTTTGTCACACAAGAGGCCAGACTGAGATGTAACTGCCTGCATAAGAGAAAGAAAAAAAATGAAATGCAAGTAAAAAAAATGAATGAACTCTTGCTTCAGTGGAGATAACTTGGCATCTCTATTCTGTTCTCTTTAATATATTCAGAACCATGCCCACATGCAGGTGCTCCAAGAACCATGCCCACGTGCAGGTGCTCCAAAATCAAGGTCACCAGGCCCATCTGGTCTCCATGAGATGCACTGTCTGTGTATCCCCATGCAGGATGATCCAACAGCAGCTGGTGGCTTTATGACTCTTGTTTCCTTGAGCAATTTACCAGGTATTTGGCTGAGACTCTGGAAAGTGCTGATAAGGGAGTTTGGTTTTCCTCAGCAGACCAAAGAACTTTCCTGCTTTGTTTAGTAGAGCCTGCTGAGGCAAGACTGTTCATGGTGCATGAAAAATAAACTACCCCCATAAAAGTTACAGCCAAGAGAGCTACACACTCTCAGCTTCTTGGATATGATGCAGGGCTTGCTGCAAAATGATGTTGGTATTGAAGGAGCTTAGTAACTTCATGGTTTCAAAGTAAATCCTAGTCAGCACTAATGACCAGTTATTTGCAACCAGCTGGTGGCTGTGCCAGTTTAATCCTTATGAAAGACAGATTCACAAGCGTGGGATGAGAGAGGGAAAACACTTTCCTGTTGCCATCTCTAATAAAGCAGTAAATATAGTTGAATGCCAAAATAAAGAATGTGAATTTGATTTGTCCTGCAGGAGATTTTTGATGCAGAAGCAAATCTGTCTGGTGGCTGAATAATTGATATTGTTTTTTTAACCCTAGTGTATTGCCTGTGATGTGGTAAACATAATTTCTTCACAGGTTCTCATCCTGATTTCTGCCAAATTTTATTCTTGATTGTCCATCTGGCTGCTATTAACTTAGATTAGAGTCACTGCCATGGCTCCACAGGTAGTAATCAGGCACAATTTATTTTTGTCCTAGATACATCCTCAATCATAAATATTAAAATTTGCATAGAATAATTTTTCATCCTTAAATGTCCATTCTTCCCATAGTTTATAACCAATAGACTGTGCTTGCACACAGCCCACGCACACAGAAACAACAAAGGATCAGAGTAAGTCTTCCTGCCTTCCCTGTCTTCTTACCTTTGATGCAGTTATTTGTTGTGCAGATAGATCAGAAACACATCTTGTGTCTGCCTTCTCTAGTCTTTGCCTATACAGCTGAGTAAGTATGTCAGGGGTAACTGCAAAGCTATGGATTTATTGCACACACAGGACAGAAGTAATCAAAATACCAATATGCCATTGGTGAGCCTTGAGACACAAGCCAGATGGAGCTGTGACTGCTTAAGACATCTTTCTTATGTGTTTAGCTGCACCTTCAGATCAGAAATTCATTTTTGACCATGCAGGCTAGTAGAGATGAGATGTTCCCTCTTGCTGCTGCATTTCTTGGTGCTTTATTTCAAAATTGTATAAAGTCCATATTTTCTTGTTTGACCCACCACAGTACATTTAACAACACAACTTGTAGTGATGATGCCAAAAGGGAGTTATTTTCCAGTGATGCCTTTTCCACAGAAGTCTTTGGACACATTCATAAGAAGAGGAAACCCAAGCATACACAGCCATATGAGACTGTAGGGTACAAATGAAATGAATATGGGTGTGGAGAACATAAACCAAAAATTAGAGTATGTTTACAGAATAGATTTCTAGTCTGGTAAGAAAAGCTGCATCCTCTTTGGCAGAAAGCACTACCATTTCCATCCTGTCTGATGACAGGGTTCATCAGAAACAGGTTTGCAGCAGCTTTTTGATACAATGTCTACATGGACTTCTATGAAGATGCACTTATGCAAGCCAAGGTCTTTCCTTTGAGCTGCAGTTTATTAAGCATAAATTGAAATAAATGGTCTTTTTGCTGTTTTAAACAGCTGGGAAGAATTTTTTTAAAAGGTCAGGCTTGTGGTTGATGAATAAAACATGGCTCAGTGTGATACCATTCAGCAAGGAAAACTATGGAATAATTTAAATTTTTGCACACATGGACTTTGTACACTGGTAAGGACTTGAAGTTTCATTGTGGTAAGCATTGAAATCTATTATAAAGTCGTGAGGGCACATAAGAAGTAACTATCATTAAAAATTAGAGTGAATTGTTCCTGTTAGAGGCACGTGAGCATGGTTATTAGGAATAGTTTCTTCCTGTGGGAGTTTTTTCTTTGTTCTTTTTCCCTCCCCAAGCTCATCAAAGGACAAAAGCAGGGAAACATGAGTGCAATGGGTTGATTCTTTTTTTGTGCAGTGGAACCTAACAGCAGTAAAAACCCTTTGTAGGCTAAAATAATAGTTTTTTAAAAAGAATTCAAAGATAAGTACATGGGCAACATTAGAAAAAAAAAAAAAAAAAGAAGGTTGTATGTAATTTATAGGCTGGTTGGGTTTCAGTGGGCTCCCAGTGTGCTCCAGAAACATATGTTTAATCTGCCGCATACACACCCTCAACTGATAGCAAGGTAGTCTTTCTTAGAATAGCTGCTTCAAGTGAAATGCCTTATATATTCATCAAAGCCACATTTTTCACTTTTGTTTTCAATTTTACAGAAGTCGGGGACAGTACCTCATTGTCTGTGAAGACAGTCTACATTCTGCCACTACTTTGATGAGCTGGTTACTGGGCCACTGCTGCTAAAGGTACCTTGCAAACCTTTTCCTCTCCCCAAATTAAGCCAAATTGTAGCATTGCATTGAATACATTGAGAGGTGATATAAGCATATGCTTAAAACTAGTGATGGCCTTGAGTAGTTAGTCCTGTGTGCTCATTCAGACATAGCCAAAATAATTAGTGTTAAGTAATGTTGCTTTCTTCTCTTTATTTCTCCCTTTTTTCTTGTTTAAGTACTTCTGCCTTAAACTTGCTCATTCTGCCTTTTAAATATATTCTTTGGATCACAAGCAACTTATGAGACATTCAGTATATTTATTATTTAGTTGAAGTGATTTATGATCCTTTCTGGACACTAGAATATTTGGAAAAGTATTTATGAATTTACATAGACTCCACCTTTAAATTGAAAGAACAACTGCACAAAGCTATTCAAAACTTTTCAAAAATATGCTAATAAAAAGCAAGATCAAATAATCAACAAACAATAAAGAAATGGCAAAATCCAATATTGTAATTTTTAAAGAGCTGTGTGTCTGGCAAAAAGAGACAGTATTCATGGGTTTGTGAACACTGAGTGAAGCTGAGGACAGTGTGGTTGGCTTTAAGTAGCATAATTTATTCTGGTTAAAGTGCTTGCATGATGGGACCTGTGGGATCATTTTCTGTAAGTGAAAGAAGACTTCCTAAATAAGGTCAACTTGTGTCTGGTCTTTCTAAAGCAGTTAGCATATGTGATGGCTCCAAAGAGTCCTGACGATTGCCTTAGGCTCTACATGAGCCTTTTTTGTCTATTTGATCTCTGCATTCTTATCTGGTCTCAGACTACTCATAACATTGAAATTTATTATTTAATGTCTCATTTAAATGGCCAGAAGCATTAAATAGATTTACATTATGTTTAAGTTTCACTCCCAAGTAATTTACCACAAGTTTAGTGTTACTTTCCCCTGCGGTGTTTTGACCCTGGCTAGATGCCAGGTGCCCACCAAAGCCCTTCTATCACTCCTCTCCTCAGCTGGGCAGAGGAAGGATAAAACAATGAAAGCCTTGTGGGTTGAGATAAGGAACAGGGAGTGATCACTCACCATTTATCATCATGGGGTCCTCCAGGGGCTGCAGGTGGATCTCTGCTCCACTGTGGGCTTCCTTGGGCTGCAGGGGCACAGCTGCCTCACCATGGGCTGCACCACGGGCTGCAGGGGAACTTCTGCTCTGGCTCCTGGAGACCTCCTCCCCTTCCTCCCTTCCTCTTTGACCTGGGTGTCTGCAGGGGTACTGCTCTCACTTACATTCACTCCTCTCTCTGTCTGCAGCTGGTGTGGTGCTGTAACTTTCACCCTGCTGACAATCTGTTCTCCCAGAGGTGCTACCACTGTCGCTGAGTGGCTTGGCCTTGGCCAGCAGCAGGTCTGTCTTGGAGCCGACTGGCAGTGGCTCATTGGACATGGGGCAACTACTGACAACTTCTTACGGAAGCCACTCCTGTATTTCCTAGCTATCAAAACCTGCCCTCTTCTCCCAGGCAACCAGCAACAGGACAAGAGGATGTAGACTTAAGCTGTACCAGGGCAATTAGGTTGGACATTAGGAAGAGTTTCTTCACAGAAAAGGTGATTAGACATTGGAATGGGCTGGCCGTGGTGGCGTTGGAGTCACCGTCCCTGGAGGTGTTTAAGGAAGGGCTGGATGTTGCACTCAGTGCCATGGTCTACTTCACAAGGTGGTGTTCAGTCATAGGCTGGAGTCAATGATCTCAGAGATTTTTTCCAGTGTCAATAATTCTGTGATTCTGTCCCATCCTTGATCCTCTCCAATTCACTTTCTATCTTGCACACAGTTCTAAAACAGCTCCTGACAAAATCTCTCATAAATAAGTCTTTTTAGCCAAAAGCCAGAACAGAAACTTCTCTAATTGACTCCTAACTATCCCACTGTTCCTGAACCAGCTTGTCACTGGGAAGGAGCATGAATATTTTATAATTACCTGCAGCCCTTTCTCCTCTTAGGGAGTCTGCCTCACCTGAGATAATTGTAGGTTGCCAACTTAAATGGTAGGTTTACAAGGCTCTGTTAATTCACTGCTGTTTGGCCTGTGGGAGAGTGTCTTTCTGGGGAGCTGAGAAAGATCTTGTTACTTCATGAGAAATGCATGGTCTTTGTCAAACCTTTGGTCTTTGTCAGGCTCTGTTTTTTTTTATTGCTATTTCACAGAAAGGAAGTAGTGTATGTTCTATGAGAACATGGCCACAAGTAGTGCCTGGATGTTGGTTTGGTTTAGAAAGCTGGGGAAGAAAAACAAAGTAGGTGAGAAAATCAGGGTATCTAGGTGTTTGGAGAAGAGAGATTCAGGAGCAGGGATTTACTTCTGCATTGATTGACTGTATGTGAGATGTGAGAATGCTTTCAAGAAGAGACAAACAGCTAATTGCCTGCCACTGTATGTTTTGTATTTAAGTGGTTTTATTTGGTGTAAAGCAATGACAACGTAGCTAGGCAAAGGGACAGACAATTGACTGTTAAGAAATGAAATCAGACTAAATATTGAAAAATGCTAAACCAATGAGAATATGATTGTAAAAGATCAACCCCTCTAGGAGGCACCTAATTTCTGGCCATAGTCTCCTGCAAGATGCTGTTCTTTCTACAGAGTTTAATTTGCAAATAATCTTTCTTTCTCTGCTAATGTCCTGCAGTGTAACCCCCAGTCCCATCAATAAAAGATGTGGTGATGAGTCACACATTTCTTGCAGTCATCTCATCTGCAATAAAAATTCAGTTCTCTGACAGGTCACAATATACAAATCATATCAGCGTGCAGTTAAGGTTGAGGCTACAGAGCAGTAATTTAGGGGCAAAGTAAAAGACATTAGATGGTGTAATAGCCTTGAAATCAAGTATTAGACACAGACAAAATTCAGATTTCAGTTTATAAACAAAATACATTTGGGTGTGGTAAGCTTGGGAATATTGGCTCTGCCCTCCTGCAACAGCAAGCTGCAAATGCATTTGGTGTAAATGGAGAAGCCAATTAGGCTGTGTTCAGAGTCACTCCATTTCGGGCTGAAATGAACAGCTGGGTATTTTTTCAACAGGTTTCCAAGAAGCAGATTCTGTTTGGACATGAAGCAAACTGATAATGACTTTTATTAAACCTTTCACTTGTCCTACTTGTTACCTTTGACATATAAAAGATAAAACTCTCATTTGTAAACTGATAGTCAAAGAGCTCTGAGCAAACTTTGCCCATGGAAATCTTAAAGATGATTAATGCCATTTTTGCTTGTGTGTCATGCAGTAGAAAGAGACTGCTTTGCTATTTATTTTATTTATGCTGTTTAGTTTCTGAGAGGGAAATATGGAAAAGCATTCATCAGATTTTCTTATTCAAGCTCTCTGTGAGCCTCAAAGTGTTCTGAGAGGAATCAATACCCAAAACAAGATGTTTATTTCAGTTTTGTATACTAGAAAGTTTTCTATTTTTTTGCTGTTAGAAAAATGCTGTTAGTCCGGTCAAACCTTTTAAAATGCTAGGTATTGAAAAATAAAAGGAAGTGTGCTATGGAGAGATGAGTAGCTTGCATACATGTTGTGGATACCTGTAAATGTGTTTTCTGGAAAAAGAAAAGTGATGTATATGTGGAAGAGACTGTAATTATTGTTAGGTTTCTTGTTTTTTCTTCTGCCCAAAGTTAGTATTCCTGTGAATGCTAAAATAGTGGGAGAGATGTGTATACTGCATGCACAGATATCAGTGCCTGTGGACACAGGAACAGCTTTGCTTTTCATGTCTTGGATCCCTTATGGAAACAGAAGTGTACCATGGCAGAGGTACCATGTGTAGATTCTAATGAGACTTAATCAGATCCAGACTAAAACATCTACATTTAGGTAGAGGCAAGCAGTTTCCCACATGTGAACCAAGGGCATAGATCTGTTGAAGTGCTGGTGAGATGCCCCAGTTATTCTGGTGGCTGCCCTGGAGGACCTGGGCCTCTGGTATGTCCTGTCCTTGCTCTATTTTCCAGCCCTCCCAGGGAGATGGCAAGGCTTTGTAACAGGCATGGTGTTTTGGCTGAATTAAGTTCTCCACCTACGCAAAGAGTACCTGCTTTAAACCCTTGCTCATATGAATCTATTTACGTGCAAATGCCTAAATTTAAGTGCTTGCATCTTAAACTGAAGTCTACCCCTATTCTGGCTCCAGGTGAGCTAACTTGGCCAAGCTCTCTGGGTAGCCAGTCAGAGCAGCTGCTGTATCTCACATCACTGTGTTGCTTGGAAACTTCTGTCTGTTTTGTTTAGGACCACATGACTTTCCTCCTAATGTTAGGGAGCTCCCTACTCTGCAAGTATTTCCCCTGAAATCAGTAAAACTTCTTGCAGGAGGAGATATCCCTTCAGGTACAGAAAAGTTTGTTTCCTGGGAAGTACTCCCTGTGTGAGGGATTTTGTGTATCTGGAAAGAACAGTAGTTGCTGCAGAAAGGTAAATATTTATCAAGCATTCCCACATATTCATGTTCTACACACCCTGATTTTTTAATTAGGAGCTGCTGTGAGCCCAGGCAGCCTGTGCCACTTGTTCCCAGCCAAGGGAGGGACTTTTCTGGTTTTGAGTTTATGCATGGGTTCAAATGAGTTTCATAAGCATGAACAGGATGATCTTTGCAAGTAAAGCACTCATGCCTAATTTAAGGGAATCTATACTGAACAGTGACATAAAATTAATTTGTTTATTAGTTTTCTGAAAACCTATAATTCAAAGGTAAAAGTTTGAAAGGCATTGGATTGAAACTTCATAAAATGTAGTTTTTGTATTTCATACATCTAAACACACACATAAATCTAAATTAAATCTAAATCTAAATATGTATGTTAATAGCAAAAGGCAATACAGGAGTAACATCAGACCATTATAGAATGAGGATGGTCACCTAATAAACAGGGACATAATCAAGGCAGAGGTGTTTAATGCTTTCTTTATCTTCCACACCGATGATGGGCTAAGGAAATGCCAGGCCCTGAGCTGGAGGACAATGGCTGTGAGAATGATAAACTACCAGTCAGGCCTGAACTTGTACAGGATCTGCTGCTCCAGTTGGATCCCTATGAAGACTTTAAATTCACTTTTTGAGTGTGTATAAAGTGTCAAATTTCTGGTAATTCAATAAGTCTGATGAATACTTTTTCTTATTAATTTTCTCACTTATTTCTTATTAACCTAAGGAATTTGTGGTTGAAGTGGCCTTGAAAAGTCCAAATACTCATCACATAATGTGGGGTGACCACTCATCTTTTCTCATTCATTGCTTTCAGTGTGGGGAAAGCTCATACTGAACTTTCCCATCCACATCAAGACCCTGAGTCAAACCCCTTGCATCATCCCCATGTTCAAAGAGAAATAATGCCTCTGTACAGCATTTCCAAACTGCATGGCCATTGTCAGCAACTTTTTTTTTAGTGCCATTTAAATAGTTTTCCTTGGCCAATTATATGAAACAATTAATACAAGAGAGATATTCTGTTTTTACAGATGTACTTCAGCTCCAGCTCCTACTGACAATCATACTGTGTCTCCAATGAAAGACTGTGGTGAGATTTGGTAACTGTACTGGATGGGTAAACAGTGGCATTTACTGAAAAATGTGCATTTGTTAGAAGGTTTCAACCCATGCAGGTACATTGAAAGTTGAAGGTATTTCACTGGCATGCTGGGGTTTTTTTTTCTTTCTCCAGTAACAGCATTTAATATATTGAAATTAGCTTTGTTGAAGCATGTTTATTTATTGATGATTTGGGGATATTTTTGCCTAGCAAATATCCAAATCTTTTTTTGTGTGTGCATACATTGTGAAGCCATACTTGCTGTATTTTCATATTCAGGAGATTGTGTTCTATTAGTTTAATTAATTAGTACTTTTTGGTAGCAAACCAATTTGAATTGCTAGACAGAACCAACCATGTTAAAAAAGCTCATAAATTACCTGTTGTGATCCATCATCATTTATCTTTTTACTTAGATCAAAGGAAGGGGGTTGCAGATTGTCCCAGTCAGTGTGTTAGTGTGCAGAAGGAAGGATTTATTGTTAGATGTCTCCATCTGGGCACACAGCTTGGACTGGGAAGGATGTCCTAGGGGAGCACTGGGCACTGAGCTCCTAAACCAGTAATCAGCCCACAGTTTGAACAGTGACCCTCTCTGTGCAGAGGATGGGGATCCTCAATAACCCCACATGGAGGAGCCTGGCAAGCAGCCTGCTGAGCCAGTCTGTCCTCTGCCTCAGAAAAAGTGCCTTTCTTCACTGGGGACTCCTTGAACAAAACTCATGGAAGTAAGTGCTGTGCTCATTTTTATTCTAAGTATAGCAAGGGATCATGATTGTATAATGCCACCAGAGGAAGAAGGTTCATTCTCCATAGCAATAAGCTCAGGGTTCAGAACAGTCATCTGTGATGTGATAGACAGGATTTCAGTCCCCTCTCCTGTCTGATGGGAATTCAAAACTGCATCTTCCATCTTTAAGGAAAATCTCTGCATAGCCCATTGGGTGTACCAGTCCCTGCTATAAAAACCTTTTGTACCACTTGTATAAAGACTGTTCATTATAATATCAAGATGTACCTAAATAAGCCTCAGAGGAGGGTTAGTGCTCTGTTCAGCATAATGCTTGCTTCTTTTCTCTGTGCTGGTTTTTCCAAAGGAGAAGTGGTAAAATTGTCTGTCTTCTGAAATGGCTTCTATGTTAGTGATGAGCAAAGAGTGGGGAATGAAAGTTTGAACCTGTTTATGTCATTGAATAAAATTTATTCATCTGTATCCTAGATGAATGCTTTGGTTACTAAGACTGCAAGGAATTTGTGTTGCTTCTGCACTGGGTCTCATGAAGTTGGTGTTTTTGTTGTATTCTTTTTAGCTCAAATCCATCAGAGACGGTGAGAACCTGAAGAACATAGGAAATGTCCTGCTGGGCTTGATAGGAGTCCTGTGGCCCAGGGCTTGGTCTGAGATCTTGATCTCTCATATTTCCACCTCCCCAGGCTCCTGGCTGTCCAGAGTGGCCTGTGTTAGGAGTGTTAGAGAGTACCCCTGCTCTCAGGGTCCTTTTTTGGATCTCATTTCTTTGGAACACACAATACTGTCTGCCCTCACCACTCCCTATGGCAGCACCTTGCAGAAATCCTCTACCAAGCATTTGACAATTTTCTTGAATTCAGACTGGGCCACATGCTGCTTCAATGAAACTCTGTCTGGCTTTGATGAGCCACTGCCTGTGAGCCTGTGTGGGCAGAGAGGCATGGGGGTCCTGGGGACACTGATTTCAGCAGGTAAAGCACAGACAGACTCACTGTGATGTGATAGCAGCTGTGAGCTGGTGGCTGGGTTGCAATGTATCTCCTTGAAGTCTGATTTCCAAATCAGTCCTGGATTTGGAAAGTCTGTGACTTTCTCCCTGCACCCTTTCCTCTCTCAAAGAGTGATGCCATGTTTCCAACTCTTCTTTCAGCAAAGGGACAATTACAGACTCTAAACACAGCTGATGAATAAATGTGTGGATTTTTCTAGCATAGACCATCTTGTGAGGGAGAGAGGAGACGTAGCTGTAATCAACACATTGTGAATTAGACCTTGCTCCCCAGTCTCATGTGTCTGTCTCATACTGCTCCATGTGCTTATGGGCAGCAGGAAACAGGAGGGAGAATGTAAATGAAATATTTGATGAACTATTCATTTATTTCAGACTGTAGCGGAATCAGCATGCAAATGCCATTCTGTGTTTTATTTTTTTGCACTGACAGTGTAGCTACACAAAAATATTATGATCTTCTGCTGCCAACTGCTACTGAATGAATTATTCTGAAGCATTCTGATGCCTGTCTTTGTCACAGTCTCCTATTTCAGTCCCTGTCATGCACTGTGCCTATCATTCATTATAGTTGATGGGTTGAGGGCAGAAAGGTGTCTCTTGCCTTGTTCTCTGGAGAATTTTGTCTTGTCTGTCTCACCTTCAATCACTGCTAATAGTTCTGCTAGAACAAATTCAAGAAGGGGCTGTGAGGAGATGATGAAAATATTTCACAGAGCAGTTTTATTTTAATAGCTAGTTTTAAAAATGAATTTGCTGGAGCAGACCAAAATGAAGATTGCTTAGAGATATATTTTTTTTACAAGCCTTTTAATTAATTTTTTATTGTTATTAATCTTTAAGCCCTTTGCATTCCTGTTACATTTTTCCTGTGAATTGCCATGTAGGATTGGGTTTACTGTGATTGACCAACGACCATTTATTTTACAAATTCATTAGGATGAGTTACTGTTCAGCAAAGACTGTGTTGGAGGAGAGAACAAAATAGCACCACAGCTTTAGGATGTGTTTTTGCAGGAGGCTTTCACAAATTTTCAACTGCTGCTTCTACCTTGCTTTTTAAGCAAGGCTGTGGCTTTGTGGTTGTTTGTGGCAGGTCTCCTGTTACTGTTCTCATGCCCTGCAAAAGTCGTAGTGGAGGAGTGAGACAGAGCTCACCATTTTGGCAGGTGCTCAGTGGCACACAAGTGAGGGTGGAATCGGTGGACTGTTCTGAAGGTTTTTAGGTTGTATTTATTATTGTTTGCTTGCAGGACTTCCTGACCTCTCCGTTCCACTAGAAAGTCTATCTGAAAAGATTGAACCAAAAATCTAGTCCAAGAATTTAAGAAATACCATAATGTGTAAATGTTCATAATTAATTCTGTGAGTATTTTTTCAAACAACTGTAATTAATTGTATGAGGTAAGAGATATATTTGGGTAGCCTTACGAAAGATTTGTGTTTCAGTCAGCTGTACAAATAAGTATCAAGTGATGAAGTATCAATAAAAGGAGAGACCTTTTGACATCAGTAGTTTGAATTACTATTAGCTTTTATGTTGGTCTTATTTCTATAAGCATACTGGATACAAGTTTTTAGGTAGCAAGAAGGGGTTATAACTCATTTCAGGAAGGAAGGCAGACGTCTCTGTTGATATTAGTATAACGTGTGATTTAATTAGATTTTGTGTTTACATCTCATATTTTTTTTTTACAAATAGTAAATTGTGACAGTGCAAGAACTGGATCAGAAGGATGGTATTAAAACCCTGGAGTGAGACTGTGAGAAACAGGCTCCATACCTGGCTGCACTTTAGGCTGTCTTTGGCAAGGTGGGCAAATCATCCTGCATGACTCTTGCCAGATATATCCTTTAGAATATATATCCTTTGGGACACCAAACAGATTTGAAGACTCATTTCTTCTGTCCCTCTCTGTTCATAGTGTCAACCTGAGATGCCTGTGGCTCAGTGCGATTGTCTTCTCAGTATCAGCACAATGACAATGAAATGTGAACTTGTGCACACTTTCCAGAGTGGTAAGAAGAAATTAAATCTGATTTGAAGAAACTAAAGGTACTAAATATGCTTTTTCAGATTACATCAGTGACAAAAGCAACAATATCTTTAATTATTTTTCTGTGAGTTTTTAGAATTTAATTGCTTTGACACAAACACTGGATATTGAAGCCTTTTCAAATTCACTGACTGAAGTTCTACCTTTTCATATTTTATTTTTTCCCCTGGGATTACAAGATTAGGATTTGTTTGAGAAAAAAATATGGCATTTTGGTGTTAGGCTTGATGAAATCATTGTCTGCAACTCTCAAGACAAAAATTACTTGAAGACAGATCATCTTGTTATAGGAGGCTTGCTTCAGCAGTCTGGAACTTACAACCAATTATTTATGTCAAGGCATTAAACCACCTTTTCAGTCAAGACCAGGTATGAAGTAGTAAATTAAGTATGTTTTGCCAGATTTTAATTATTACTATTTTTAATTAGTTGCAGAAACATGCAGTAATTATGTTAAACGTTGTAGTTGAGGAGTTCAGAGATTAAACTATTCAGGTAATGATTAATGGAAATGCTAGCTGAACCTTTGTCCCTTATGTTGCTAATTTTCAAGGATCTATGAATGTTGCAGTCCTTTTGCTGGCCTGTCACTGAAAGTTGCACTTCAGGGGCACACCCAGTGAGCTCTGGCTGCTCGTAGGCTTTTGGGTCCTGGAGTTGTGAAAATATGAGATAGCTCTTCTAAATAATTGCTTTTTAACATGGTGTAACATACAATTCTTTATTTTCTTATGTTGTCTGAGTAAAACCCCATGTAACATTTTCTGTTACATGTGTCTGACACAGAAAACAAGGTTCCTCTTTGATTAGCACAGAAAAACATGGATTCTGCCCTGTATGAGGAATGGAAGTGGTGCCTGAGTCTATGTTTATCTAGACCTAGTAGTCATTAAATTGTTTTGTCTTGTCATGAAAACTTATCTAGGAGAATTTCATTCAGAGTGACATAGGCAGAGGTTGCAATCTCTGGAAAGCACCAGACCATCACTTCTAGCATCTTCCACCCCACACCCCACATTTCTAATCTCACTAATAGTATTGAGACCACTCCAGCTCTTGTGGAGCTCAGAGTTGGAAGACTGCAGAAATTCATATTTCAATTTCAGGTATGGGCAATGCTCCTTCTATTCTGGTTCCATTGGAAGAGACTTAAAATGAGTTATCCTTTCCATTAAGCATTCCTCTGCTTGGAAGCATAAATGTAATTAAGATTGTGGGCCTCATGACTCTTTTTAATGGAATTAGATCTCATGACTCACTCGGGCATTATCTGAAGAATGGCTCCCCATACAAAATGACTCAATCACTAAGATTGCTGTCTGGCAGCGTGCCAAGATATTAGGACCCAAAGAGCTAGCACTTAATCTAATTCAGGGACATCTTTAATATTTTTTGAACATACATGCATGCATATTCCAAATATCTTTCCCTCCAAAATAGAAGTTAATAATTTATTTCAGGCACACTCTGCACTCTGAGATGTCTTACAACATTATTGATCCTTTTAAAATAATTGAATTTAATTCTGAAACATTTTGCAAAATTTAGATGAAAAAATAGTGCATACAAACCAGGACAAAGTTCAGGGCCATGAGGAGGTCACTGAGCACTGAAAGCTGCAACTACCAGCACTTTCATTTGTTTAGCCATTTTTCCTTTTTTTGCTTTCTTGATCTCAAGATTGAGTAAAAGAATTGGGTCAGACTAAATATCCCATTATTAAATCCCCACCATTACATCAAGTCAAAAATGATTAGGAAGATGTGATAAGAAGCAGTAAGCTTTCTTGGTCGATGTCAAATTGAGCCAGCAGTGCCCTGGCAGCCAGGAGGGTCAACCCTGTCCTGGGGGGCATTGGGCACAGCATGGCCAGCCGGGCAATTGTCCTGCTCTGCTCAGCCCTGGGCTGGCCTCACCTCGAGTGCTGGGGGCAGTTTTGGGTGCTGCAGTATAAAAAAAGACATAAAGCTATTAGAGAGTGTCCAAAGGAAGGGAATAAAGATGGTGAAGGGCCTGAAGGACCTTGAAGAGAAGCCTTATGACGAGCTGCTGAGGTCACTTGGTCTGTTCAGCCTGGAGGGGACTGAGGGGAGACCTCACTGCAGCCATCAATATCCTCATGAGGGAAACTGCAGGGGAAGTCACTGATGTCTTCTCTGTGGTGACCATTAATAGGTCCCAAGGACAAGGCATGAAGCTGAGTCAGGGGAGGTTTAGGTGGGATATCAGGAAAAGTTTCTTCACCAGAGGATGCTTGGACACTGCAACAGGCTGCCCAGGGAAGTGGTCACAGCTTCAGCCTGACAGAGTTCAAGAAGTGTTTGAACAATTCTCCCAGACACACGGTGTGACTTCTGGGGCTGCCCAGGAGTTGGACTCAATGATCCTTGTGGGTCCCTTCCAACTCAGAATATTCTAGGATTCTATGATTCTTGTAGTATCGCTTTCACATTCTGAGCATAGGTAGTAGTGGGACTTCTTGGTCTGAAGGCTGTTTATATTTAAAATCTCCTGTTGGATTAATCTTCCCTGAATTGGTTCAACCATTTTTGCTCCCACTTTATCTTCTTTGGCACTCAAAATACATTTATGTACTATACCAAGTTCTAACCTATTTCTTAGTTTAAATCTTGTCTTCTAGTGAAAGGAGAAGAAATATGCTATAACCATATTCTTAAAATAATTTATGTATGAGATGACACTTGCATAACAAAAGGCCTAATTTTCAAGTATGACGATTTGTTACCAAAAGCTGATGGAGTAAAGAGGAAATGAAGGTTCTACCTGTACCTCTGCAGAGGTGTTGGATAAGACTTCATCCAGTTCTAGGTGTCTTGACTTAAATATGCTGGCCAAGATTTTAGTGTGTTCTTATTCAAATTATTGCCCCAATTTATTATTTCTCTGTTGCCAGAAAGCTGATATTTTCTTCTTATAAAAGGAAGAGGGAATAATTATTAAATTAATGCAATGAATCATTATCAAAATAGTTTCTATCAAGTATAAAATTTCTCATGGTGCCAAATGGTGAGCAATGTCATTCTTCATATTTGTTCTAACCTGACAGAAACCAACTCATCTTCATTTATGGTAAGTCAGAATGGGGTACTTTCAGTCATCTAAAATGAAGTTGTGTGGCATAACACAGAACTTTGTGAAACCTCAGTGGATATACAAGAATCTAATAATACCTATTCAGTAATCATGCAGGATCCTTTTAATTGCTGAGAGAGTTTTCCCACATGCTGGTGCTGAAAGTCTAAAAAGATATTAAAACAGTGGAAAAAATTTTCTAGAAGAGATGTTTTCTGAGGGTTTACTGTAAGCAGCAACTGCATGCAGACAACTTCAATGTCATTTCAAGAAAACAGTGTCTGCTGCCTATTACATCTGTTCTAGGATGTGTGATGGATATGTTGCACCAACAGGCACTCACCTACAGACCCAGCTGAAACTTGAGACTGCCAATAACCGTAGGTGTTAAGTCTAAGCTTATCCACTGCTGAGATAGAATTGACATGGAAAGTTGTTTTGTGCTTCAAGTAAATAGCAAGAGAGTTTTAAAAAGTAATAATTGTTAAATTTCGTCATGATCTGTTGATCTGTTGTTCAAGTCAGTGAGTGAAAAATATGTCCTTTCTGAAACAGACAGGCACTTTCCCATGGACCTCATTAGGCCAGGCTACAATATATGGCTTGTAGAATTAGTTGCCTGTAGATAAAGCCCATAATATTTAAAATGTTTCAGAAAAAATGGTAGCATTATTATTTCTGATTTATAAAGCAGAAAACAAGAGCCACCACGGTGAATGACTGATAATTCCCACACTCTTAGCCATGAGATTTTCTGGCTCCCTAGGTGGAGAGTCACAGGCATGGCTGATCAAAATAATGTGAAGCAATATGCACATTATTGGAAACTTCACCACTTGGCCCCAAAAATGCAAGGAGCCAGGTATCTAAATGCAGGGTCATTTGTTTTCTTACTTCATGACTTTACAAAATGCTTTGGATACCTGTGGCTAAACAGTCTAATCAGTGAAAACTTTTGATTGCTTTGAATGCAGCAGCCATCTGAACACACTAAAGCGAGTTAGTGGTTAAATGATTACTGATGCATTTACCCACAAATGCCTTTGACCACAAGCTATGGTTAATTTTGTTTTCAACCCGTATTTTGACTTAAATCCTTTCTTTGAGTGCTCATAATAACTGTTAGTATGAACATTCCTTAAAGTAAGTGTTTAATTTTCTGAACCAATGGCATTGTCATAAGGAAACCAGAATCTTGGTTAAACAGGAGGCAGCCACACCTGTGATAAAGGATCTTTCCATAGATCTTTGACAACTTTTTCTGTATTGTTCCTGACCAAAGGGGTGGAAGATGGGAAAGGTCGAAGTCCTACAATTGGAATGCTGGACCTCCAAGTTATGACTCTTCCTTTGGGCCAGTCTTGGTGTAGCAAAGGTTCCTATGAACTGCGCTGAGGGATACTGCTGAGTGCTCCAACTGTCCATCTGTCCTCCTTTACTCTCTGCTGCCAGTAAAGCAATACAAAAGAAATATTGTGTGCTTTCAGGTAAGTGGAAGAGATATATTAGGAAGAAAAAAAAGAAACAAAGAAAGAAAAAAAGGAAATACATCTTTCAATTATGAGGACTTTTTAAAGCTATGGAAGACAAAATAATTTTCCCTTGCTATATGTCCTCTCATAGACAAATTTTTGCCTTCCTGAAATATTTATGAATATTAATTCCTTTTTTTTTTTTTTTTCTCCTTCTGTGCAGCTTGTGGTCTTCACTTGGAGAAATTAGTTTGGCGTATCTTCAAAAGCTGAACTTATCTGAACAATGTCCATCAATCTGACAGACAAACTACTTTATTAAATTACTTAAAGACACTGACAAGGCCCATAACTATGAATCTTAATCTTAAGGATCTCAATTTTAGTTTGTACAATGTCTTCCACTAGAATAGCACAGAGAAAAGATAAAGTGAAAAGCTGACTCTGTGTACAAACTAGACTGATCACAGCAAACCCAAAATCAATAAAAGCAGCATAAAGTCTGCTGTTCTCCTTTAGACATTTACTCATGGAGTGAAGGCATTTTTATCATCGAGTTACCTGGATTACATAGTAGACTTTATGGGATTTTCCCTTTCAAGGAAGAATAATTTTAATGTGGAAACAGTAGTTTTCTTCCTCTTCTTCTTCTTAGCAGAAAAAAAGGCACAACACATTTATTTATAAATATAACAATAAATTCTTGTGATGCATTTTGAACCTTCCTAAGAGAAATTCCACTGATGGAGAAAGGGAATACAGGGTTTTCAGGTGTTGGTGAGCCAGAAAACAGCTCCTCTCATGTGGGAATTTCAAGACATTTCTGTCATTAGGGCATTCAAACATGGTACTATCTGTAGTGACTGAAAGCTTGAAAAGCCACAGTATTTTTTTTTCCTTATATCCAACTGGATCTTCCCCTGTTTCAGTTAGTGGCTACTGTCAATTTTTGTCCCACATTCCTTCATTAAAGGACCTGGCTCTGTCTCTTATCTTAACTATTAGAAAATTGCTGTTAGGTTCCCCCCAGGGTGTCTCTTCTCCAGAAGAGAAAGTCATGGAGTGTATTTGAGACATTTGTGACTCAAGTCCAACACCAAATTGTTTGTTTGTTTTATTGCCATCCTTACAAAAAAACATTAGTGAAAATGAAGTGATATTTTGTTGAAGTAAAGTGCCAACATGGAAAGCTAAAGCCGCATTAATGCATTAAAAAAAAACCCAAACTCCACTTCTTTATATAAATATATTCTGGGGAGCAACTTGAAAAGCAATGCTAAATTGATGCTTAAATGCACCTGAAAACTACCTATCTTTAGTAAAAATTATGGCTTTTTAAAGTAACAATATTCTTGCCACATCTGTGCACAGAACTCCTACCTAAACAAAAAGTCAAACATTACTAAATTTATATTCCCTTGAAGAGGGAATTTGCCTTTTCAGTAGTAGCCTTTACAAGGCACTTCTATAGTGATGGGCCCTGCTATGTCAGTTAATGTGTGCAGGACACCTCCAGGCTCACCAGCTGGTGTACTCAGCTGTTCAGCTTTTTCTGTATCTCTTCACTACTCAAGGAAGCTCTGACTCCTGTAAATGCAACGAAACAAAAATCTCTAGAGAAGACTGCTTTTCAAACTGTGTATGTGTGTTGGTTTTCCTTGAGGCAGGGTTAATTTTCTTATATATATATTATATAAATAGTAGCTATGAAGGGTCTGTATTTTGGATTCCTGCTGGAAGCAGTGTTGATACCAAAAAGTATGTTTTAGCTATGACTGAGCAGGGTTTCACAGGGTCAAGGCTTTTTCTGCCTCTCACCCCACCAGTGACAGTGGGGTGAGAGGCAGACAATTCTTGTGTTTGCACCATGGTAAATAAAGAAAATTATGTTTAAGTTAATTAGTACTGAATTGCCTCTGAAAAATATTTCAGCCATATGAGTATTTTCTGCCCCTATACAGTTAAATGTATATTAATATTATTTGGTAAGAGGCTTCCATAGATATTCAGGCATTATGTTTTTTCTACTATTTCTTCTCTAATTTACAAGTCAGTATGAATTTCCTTTTCCATTTTTGACATCAAGACAGTGACTCAAAGTCGCCTGCAGGTTTAGAAGATACTCCATGTACTTGGATACTCTTGTAGTGCAGGGGTTGTTATGGAACGTTTTTTTGATAAATTACATTAGAGAATAAGCTCTATTTGTTTAATTACATTGCCATTGTGGGGCAAGCACGAGCAATTTAGAGTATTAAACTGAAGCTGCACAGAAATGTGAGAAGTCTATTTTGGGCTCCCAAAGTTTGATTCTTTTGATAAGAGAGTATCTTGTGCCAAATGAACATTGGAGTGGCCTTCTGATTACTTCAAATGTACACTGTAATTTCATTATGGTGACCTTGAATGTAGAGTTGTATCAGTTCCTTACAGACTGACTCATCTCTGCTACACTCTGTTACTCCATAAAGGGTCATATTTCCACTTCTTATTCATCCCATACACAGAATTCCCATGGGCACCTAAACTATGTATGGTTTTGAGACACAACATATTTTGGGCAATATCTTTACGAACTACTCAATGGCCAAATTAAAAGATGCAATGTCTCCAAGTTCATTATTTTGGATTTACTTCTGCATACAATAGCCTGGAGGGCAATGCAATATTGGAAGACTCCTTTTTGATTTCCCAGAGTGAAAAGAGGGTACAGATACTGTTTCAGGCACTCTGCAATACTCTGGTTTTGCTATAAAATATATGACCTTGCTGGTGCACTGAACACCATGACTGTAGCACATTTCTGAGCACAAGATAAGGCATTTAAGCATTTCTCTTATGTCTAGGAGCCATGACTTAATCATGAGTCATATCTAGTCATTCTGTATAGACTGAAGAAATTTGTCATTGTGCCTGCCATTTATAAATAAATCTGCAGTTTGCACCTAAATGATGCACTAATGTTCCATAAAGTTTGAGCAACAGTAAAGTTTTCTCAATTAAATTGGAAACATACTGTATGAAATGTTTAGACATTAAATAGAAGGGGTAGAGTGGCTACAGAGTTGTAATCCATCACATATAAATCAATCTGAAGTAATTATACAGCACATCTTAGGCAATGAGGGCGTAACAGGCAGAGGGCCACCTATCATCTTGATGCTGCAAGGGAAGGGTCACAGTTTAAAAAGGATATCTCTTTGAGAAGATTTGGTAAGTCAGTCACAATACTGAACACTTCATCTGCTTGACTATAGCTAGAGCTGGGGTCATCACCCTCTTTTCCACCTACATGTGAGTTTAACTGAGACTTAATACTTCCTGCATCTTGTTACTGGTATTGAGGGATGTCACACAGGGAGCCTCTGTGATGTCCAGAGCTCTCACAGTGCCCCCAGAGCAGTCAGTGGCTTCTTCAGGACTTTCCACCTTTCAGTAAGAGTGGAGTGATAGTCAGTGCTTAAACACTCAAATCAATGCCATTGTCTCTCTTTCTGCCCAGCAGTCTGTACCTGCTCCAGTTCCTTAGGAGGAGCCAGGGTTGCTTCCCTTGCCTGGGAAGCCAGAGGGTTGATATTTGTTTGCAAAGAGCTGCCTTGGTGGTATGTTATTATGAGGCACCTCATCTGTGTTGTGGAGGTTGTGTTTGTTGCTACTTCACTTGATAAGTCCTTGAGCTTGGACAATACAAATTACACTGGGGAGGGGCTATTGGTTTGCATTAGGAAAAAGTAAACAATGTACTTGACTTTTCTAATTGTTCTAGACAGTTTTTTGTGGGTTTTTTTTTTGTTTTGTTTTGTTTTTATTTTTTTTTCCTTAAGACTGTGCTGTTTTTAATATGCTACCCTCTGGTCATTTTTCTGCTTTCAGAGAGCAAATTTCAAAGAAAGAATCATCCATCTTGTCCTGAATCTGCCAGAATGCTGTAGACAGCTATGCTGCCTGATGTTTACAGGGCAAGATTGAACCATTGATTTTTTACATGAAACTCGGCATTACCCTGGACAAATTGTTGTGAGGTAAAGCTAATGGCATAACTACAGCCTTTACATCTGGCATTCTGTTTTTTTTTACAATCTCTGATTAAAGCATTTCTCTGTTAGTATACATTTCTTTCTCTAACATGCTTTCAAACTGTTTGTAGCAATGCAGTTGAGAAAAGAGTGGCTCAGCTATATAAAATGCAGCAAATGGGTTACTGCTATTCTCATCTATGGTAGATTAATAAATGAAAAAATTACTTAATGATTTTTTTTTTTTTCTGTGTTCTTTCAAACTTCTGACACTGCAATTTCTATACTACTTTGGAGAAAGAAACTGGCTGGAAACACAGTTGCTTCCGAGTGAGATTGTAAAGAGCTGCTCCCACGTCTCTGTGCAAAAATGTTTCTTAATCACTGGTGATTTCTCAAAATTGAGCAAGGGGGATGGGATTGGATGACTGAATCCTATGCTTGATATACAAATGGAATTCCCACAATTCCCATTCTGATTTGTAAAAAAAATTATCTCTAGGAGAAATGGAGGAATGTGTGGAAGCTACCTGCTTTACGTTTAGAACAGCTGGTGATCCTGGCAACTCAACTGTATTCCAGATGATAAATTAGATCTCTTGCTCTGTGGGGCCATGAGTAGATTTAACCAACTTTCTCCCAAACAATATGGCAGTTTTCTAGCACTTCTGGGCACAGGTGTGATAGCAAAATAAGTCTACAGAAGACCAGAGCTATCATGTACCATAGAGAGAAGCCTGTGTAAAGTAACAAGCGTAAAAATATGAGAACTGAACCCCCACTTTTCACTCCAAATAAAAATCTATAGTAAATGCCAGGAGAGAAGAAATATAAGACAATGTAAATTAATTATTTACTTTAAATTGAGAATTTAAAAATAGAGAGTTGCCAACCATGAATGAAACATTCTTTTGGAAAAGTGAAAGCTTGCAATGTGTGTATTGCAATGTTTTTCCCAGCAGCTTGTAACAGGAACATGGGGTACTTTGAGACCACATTCAACTAGAAAGGGATTGAACTCTGCCCCCTTAAGGTTTTGCTGCAGATATTCCGAATTTTGCGCCCATAAAATGATAGATACCCTCAATTATGGTCATGGAATGTTTTCTTAGTAATCTGTAAATGGTTTCATTATTATATGTGCTACAGGGAGTCTTTTTCATTGCTTAATCATAATTATTTCCTTCTGTTTTCCAGTATTCTAGTAATTTTTGTGTTCTGTCTTCATTCTAACTTCTCTGCCATTCACTTCAGGGATTCATTTCACTATTTTATTTAATTAAAACATTTCTATAACTTTTCATATTTTTCCCCAGGTGATTTGTGAATATTGATGCAAAATTTGGATGGCGGAAAGAAAGTTTATAAAATACTTTCAGCTCAGGGCAGGGGAATAAAACACATAACCATCCTGGTTTTTGATGGACTAACTGATTTCTTTCCATGTGAATAGTAGGGCACTGTGATTCTGCTGTGTAGCGTAGAATATATTCTCCTAGCAGAATATACTCCTAAGGTGTCATGAATTATCCCTTAGTGGCACTGAACATCTGCTGAGTTCAAACATTCTTTTGATCCCCCTGTTTATCTTTTTGCAAGCCCCGAGAGAAGCAGCTTGCTTGTTTTGTAGATTGGAGTCTGATTTCTCCCTTCAGGGAAGAACCATGTGTTTCAGCATCAGCATGCCTGAATAATTGCCATGTCTTTGTTTTACTTTCAGGATAACCTCACAGAGGCTGGCTCGTGCCATGAACAAATGTGGAGTGTGGAAGACTGAAAAATGATTTTTTCAAGGGCTGATCAGTTTTGGGTAATCACTTTTGGGCTGCCAACGGTCAGCATGGTTAGCTGTGTGTCTGGGAGTGGATGGTGGCAATCACTTGTTGCTTTCAGAACTGATCTGTTTGATCTAATTAACTGCTTTTCAAGCTTTCTGTTTACTGAAAACAGCAGTAAAAATGACAAAGAAAGATTAGCTGCCTTTGAATTTGAATATTTTTCCTGCTTTAAACTTCTGAAAGTCTCAGGATCTCTGTCTGGGGCCATTGATATCAAAATTGTCCTGCATAAACAATCAGCTTTGAAATTTAGTACACACTTTATAAATACACATTTGGAAAATTACAATAAAGAGTAAGATCTCATGAATCTCATCCTGTGTCTAATGCACTATCTGGAAAGTTTCCATTGTGTTTAAAGAAGATGGAATTGAGTTGCTGCTTTGAAACTGGATTGTCTCACTTAAATAAAGAGTAAGAATATGTAGCTTATGAAGACAAAAAGCTATTTCTGAATGAGGAACTGTGGTAAAGGAGCAACCCACCAACTGTGGTGGGTGGAGGTACTGGGAATTTAAAATGTTTTGTTGTCTAAAGTGTCAGAATTGGATTGTCTGTACAGAGTAAAAGCAAAAGTATCTGCTTTTCTATGTTGGTCCTCTCTCTTGTGCACTGAACTGGTTTGGATTACAGGCAGATGTCAGTCTTTTTTCCTGCTAATCGTCCCTGTAAATGTGCTTTTTCTTATCAAACACGTACCTTGTGAGTAAATTAAAGGCATTCTTAATACCTGCATTGATACTTGTATCAATCAACGGGGAGAAAATAGAAAATTATCACTTTCAAAATTTCCAGGCGCCCTCAAGCTGGGTATGTAAGCCAAGAGAGGGACAAGCTAGGCCTATGGAATAAGTTGGATTGTTTCTGTAAGTAGGTTGATCTGAGTTGTGAGCCTTTGAAGACAACTGAAGACTGGATTTTGAAACAAAGAATGTAGATCTCACTTTTGAGAAAGGACACTGTTATGCTGACACTGCAAAGGTCTTAAGAGGAAAGTACAATTAGCAGGATAGGCATGTCCACTGAGGTAGTTAGCCAAAGAGCTAATGTGACCTAGGGAGGTATCAGCAAAGGCACAGGTAGGAGGAAAGGCAAGGTGTCTGTGTCATGGCAAGGCCATCACTGGAACCCTTCAGCTCTGAGGTCCTGTTTTTGAGAATTCTTCTGAAAAGCTGAAAAAGTTTTGAAAGACTCTAAGCTGTAGTGTGGAGAACAGGTAGAAACATGAACAAATGACATTAAATTGTTCAAGTTGCAGATGTGATTTCCTTATTGCCTACAGATACCTACATGTAGGAAAACTTCAGATAAACAACAGCTCTTTAATGTGACGGCACAAAACTCAGGCCTGGGATTTTTGCTAGGCAAATAAAAACTTTAAACAAGTTACAGATATTTTAAATTGTGAATATGCCTATCTCCTGGAGCAATTTGAGGTAGATGTGGTGTAATTCCTACTGCTAGAATTTTGAGAAACCTGACTGGACATATTTCTGAAATATTTGATTCAGATTCAGCCAGAGTTCAGGGATAATATGGAGTACAATAGGTGAAGTTTCGGTTCTAGACTAAAAGATCAATAGCTTTGTTGGAATCAAGGATTGATGAGATGTTTAAAGATGTCCTGTTTCAGTGGAGAGGGACACTATCAGCATCGCTGACTGTGCTGAGAATGGTATTATCACACAGTGGTTAAGATCTCAATATTATTGGACCTTCTAGTCAAGCAATCTGCACATTTTTAGATACGTGACTTGGGACATGAACCTCTCCCCTTTTTTGGATCTCTGTCACTCCTGTCTCATTTGGATGACAAAAAGGGCCATAGCCATTACCTGATAGAAGCTTCACCCTGTGGTGGAGCAGAATGTCAGCAGGAGTTTTTCCACCTTCCCTGAAGTGCAGGAACTGCTGTCTCTGCATTAGCTGTCCCCCTCACCCACTCACACATTCCCGTATGACCCAGCTTCTTCACCACCTCTGCTCCGATGGCTTCATGAGGAAAATGAAGATTGCTGCCACTTGAGGCTTGGAAGGGGAAAAGAAGCAAACAGTAGTGAAAAGTCTGTGCAGAGGGCTTAGTCCAGCTCTGGTGAGGGGGTGTGGGTAGGAAGCACAGGTGGAGGCACAAGAGAACTGGGCAGCCATGGCCTGGGCTAGTCTGTGCAGCACTCCCGGAGCTTGTTTAGCAAACCTTGTTTAGCAAACCAGCTTGTTTAGCACCTTGTAACTCTGTTATTATGCAGTAATTGTAAAGGGGAGACAAGACATAACAAAAGGAACTGGAACATTCCTAAACCTCAACAAGTTCTGGAGGAAGATGCATCCATATGAAAGAGTCTAGAAGTAGGAGGACCTTTAAATCAGGCTGGAATGAGTTGTGGTGCTTTCAGGAATAGCCTGCTTGGATGCAGCACTCTAAGCTCCTCTGCTGGGTTGGTGTGCAGCCCGCTAACCTGATTCACAACCTTAGCTCAGATCTTGGCCCAGCTGAGAAGATCTGAGCAGCAACAGGGACATAGGACCTTAGCTATGGGAACAGCTTGGTCACAACTGATGTGCAATGATTGCAAGGAGAATGACAGTAGTTCCCAAAGTTTTATAGAGTTAATTAAACACAAGGACAAACTTTTCTGAACTTGGTCAGAGATCTCTAAACACCAAAACTTACTCAAGGTTGTAAATACATCTCAATACAGAGTCTGAATGCCTTGATTCAAAGAGCTTCCCAGTAAACCAGAACATAGAAATTATGTCCGTACCCAGAAACAAATTATGTTCACCTTGTAATTTGATTTTGATGATATGTTTTGCAGTCATCTCCTTTGGCTCCGAGTCATTACTCGTAGTGGAAATACTGACACATGTAATGGCTCAAAACAGCATGTGGAAACTTTCCACTCTTCCCTCTGTCTCTGCTCACCAGGACTCATTCACTCACTCATTGTCTTTTAGCAGCAGAAAAACATTAGACTGTTTATAACCATGGGATATTAGTGGGCACCTGGAAAATGTTGATAAATGGTGATTCTTATTCAGACAGATCCTCACCCATGTTGAGCATCTGAAAGGATGAAAGGCTTCTGAACACTGAAGCTTCTTAGCAGTGTTTTTCTGATGATCTTATAGGTTTTGTTTTACTTATTCCACCATCTCTAAATTCCTACACTAACTTCTCTGCAGGTAATGCAGATTGTTAGCAGGGATCTCACTGGGGCTGTACATACAATTATTTTTCTCTGCAACCTGAAGACCTGGAAGAATAAATAAAGGTTCCTAGTACTTTTTTTTTTTGCAAAGCAGGTAAGGAGAAAAGAAATTTATTCAGTTGAAAAGCCCAAAACCTAAAAAAAAGATGTTGCTACAAATCAAGCCGTGGCCATTCCGCTACCTCTGTAAGCCAAACCAACTTTAAAAATTGACCGAACAGCAAAAAATGGCAAAAAACACTGCTTTTGTTTTCTAATTTAGAGAACCTGCCTTGCTTAGCTTCCAAGTTGTAGATGCACAGTTGCTGCTTACTTTCAGTGTTGATTTTAATCCACATTGTATGTGACTCTTCAGTGTCAAAGCTAACTAGGCTCCAGTAAAGGCTGGCACTGTTTATCAGCATCTTACTAGGAAACAGAAAACAAAGCCCCTCTCTAAACTTACATGATCTCCAAAATGCAATGTTTTTGTCCACGTTTGTTGCTGTGACTGCACATGGAAAATAGTCCTTTGTATTGAGAATTATGTAGTTCTGTAAAAGTAAAGAAAATACTGATTCCTGAAAATATTCTAATTATAGTATTAAGATTTAAAATTCTATTTATGCCCCTGACACCTAGGAGCAGTACTTGAAGCTATATTCATAAAAATAATTCTGACCTATTCCCAAGAAAGACTATTGCAGTACAGAAACATTTTTTTTTCTGCTGAGTAGAGGGAGATTGAGAAGACATTTAGATCCAGAAAGTCCTGCTCCCCTACCTAATCATTTGCCATGGCTGCTGTGCTGACTGACAATTCTTCACATTAGTATTACTGCCTGGGCTCAGCAGGAGACTTCACAGCTGACCACTGGGGAGATGGAAAAGGGTCTTTTTCTGCCTATATTCCTCCAAAGGGTTTGATTTCATAAGCCTTTTTATTAAACTCATAGCGTGTTCTCCTAGACATTTTTAAAAATACTTCCATTACTCCAGTTTTTTTCTTTTTATAGCATACAAGAAGTAGGTACAGTGTTTCTTTCTAACTAAATTGCCAGTGATTGAAGCATTTGCTAACAGATGGGAAGATTTCTGCCTTTTGAGCACTTCCTCTTCAAGCCAGAGAAGGTTTACACCCATTATTCTACCTCCTAGGAGAAACTCTGATTGAAAGATTAAGCTAGGTCATGGCAGCACTGAATTTTCACCTATTGGAAACAGGTCACTTCACTAAAAACCTTCTGCAAGATCCGCTGGGTGAAGAGAAAGACGCTCCATGGCTGTCTAGGACAACTCCTAGGCTTGGATGAAACAGCAAAGACTGAAGACTTGAATTTTGGGAGGATCTAGGCCAGCACTACTGCTTGTCTATATTTTGTTTTGCTTCAGCAGGAAGCCTTTTTTACTTTGTCTGTTTAATATTGTTGTTTTATATGTCAATAGACTTGATTCATACCTTTTGTACTTTGTAATTTGGAAGGAACTGTCTGACTTACCAGCTGGAGGACACAGTAAATCATTAGGACTTTAAAAGCATATTTGAAAGAGGCCAAATGTCCAAAGGGGAAAAGTAACAAACTTTTGACTCTGTGTACAAAAAAAAAATATATCTCGATGAAGTAAAGATCTGGGGAAACACACAGGGGCAGGGAATTAGATGGGGGAGTTGGAAATGCTGAAGATTAAAATGAGAAACTGGAAAAGCAGAAAGGGAGAGAGTGAGAAGGTAGCTGATACTAAACAGACCGATGTTGCTGACTTCCTTTTGAAAAGAATTTTTTAATTGTCAAGGCTGTAGCAAGCATGTTTTTTTATTGATCCTCTAGGTACTTTACCCTAGAAGTCTTATTTAACACCATAATTACATAATTTTGTGCTCAGTTAGCTTTATAAGCCTCAGTGGAGGATCATGAGCATCCCTTTCACACAACCCTGCACTTTTCTGCTGTTAATTTAATGCTTATGAAGAGCCCATAAATTTATATTGATCTTTTTTTCTCCTTGCAGACTTAAACCACATTAGTATATGGAACAGATGGGAGTCTTTAACTCATTAGAGGGAACCAGTTTAATACTGATCCCATCAATCTGTCCTATTTTTGCCTTGGGGACAGAAGTTTTTCTGTGAAGAGTGTAGTTATATGCATCTGCTGTTGTGTGTGTACCTAGATGGCAGGTTCTGCAGCTACTGAGGCAGAACAGAAGGAAGCAGGAACATTGCAGAGTATATGAAGAAGAGATCTTTTGGCATGATACCAAGCAGAAAGCATAATTAGAATGAATTTATAATCACAGTGCAGCTACTTAAGGAAAAACAGGAATACACAAGCACAGCTTGATATGGTTCAGAGTTTGTCCTGTTCATGTTTTAAACAAACCACACTAATTCTATTGATAAAGGCTCCACCTCCTTTAGATTTAATAACTTTTGGACTTAAAATACTCTGGAGTGTTTTTTACTTTAGTGCTCCTCTGAAACTGTAATATCTGGATGGCTTTAAGAGCTGATTTGAATCAGTAAAACAGAAAAAGGTGTGCTTCTGTAATGAACAGATTCCTTCCATCGGGTTAGCATTCTTGTTCTTTTGTTTTCATTGCTGAGTCTAGATTTCTGAAAGGTTAGTGTATGAACAAGCAGGGAAAGCTTCACCTGAAAGATTACCACAAATAAGGCACAAATAAATCACAAAAAGGGTAAGACATGGAAAAAATATGACAATAATTTATTAAACAAATCCAGGTTTTGCAATGCAAGTAGCTTCAATTCTAGTAATCAGCACAGTGTACAATATAGTAATATTTGTTTCTGCTTAATTTGGGAAACTCTCTTGGAAAGATGGCTGAAATATGGGGAAACTGCATATACTGAGAAAAACAGAGACTGGATTTTACAACTTAATTTTAAATCAAGACCATGGTCCTCAAAACACTGAAAACACATCCAATGACAGCTAATTTGAGCAGCAAGTAAATCTTTAATTGCACTAGTGATATTGGATGCGTATAGTTATGTATAGTACAAACAAAAACACGACTACAGAGTAATTTAGTTTGTTTTAAAGAGATTTTATAGTCTCAGAAAAAAAATAGGAAAAAAAAATAGATATCATCCAAGATAAAAACATTTATAAACTGGACAACAAATACATTGCGTAGTTTTCTTCCTATGTTGCTATTTGGTAGGAACAGGCCCAGAAAAACAGAGCTTCTTTCTTCTAGAAATTTGTCTTCTGTTACTTATCTTGTAACATGACACCACAATAATGTCAGTTGTTGCCAGTGCCAGCCAGATGTTAATTTAATTTCATACCAGCAACTAATTATGATGCCTTAAGGTGCATCTCCATCTCTTTTTACTTTTGTCCTCCCAAAGAGCTATCCTAATATTTCCTGAAAGTTCAGTTTGTTTTCTTTTAGGCAAATTACCAAAGTAGACTAATGTAATTTCAGATTATAGACTGAAGTAAAGAATAAACTGCAAGATCAGATAAATTCCTGTTCTAGATTTCATAAAATAAATAGATGTATAAGAATGATGCAAACATTCTCTAAATGTATGTTTGATGAAAAGAATATATGTAAATCAGGGATTTCAGACTTTCTAATTGCTTAGTAAAAAAGGCCTCACAGAACATAAAAACTCTACAAATATTAATTTCAGCTTCTTCCAAACTGAAATTTATTAGCAACTTATTTGTTATTTATATTATTTTCTTTAAATAAAATAAAGCAACAGGTGAAATATGAGACTATTAATAATTTTAACCATGGGGTTTATAACTGGCCTTTGCAAATCCATTGTTTATATCCTGACAAGGGAAAAAAAACTAACACAAAACTTAGTCAAGGATTGAATTAACAAGCAGACAGTCTAATATTTTTTTTGTATCTATCAGTCAAGCAGATAATCAATAAGACACTGTATTGTCAAACTGTGTTGGTTATACAATTGAGGTCTGTTCTGATATTTTTAAAAAGAAAGTTTGATTAACAATGACACTTGAATTAGGATTTTCTTAAAACTTAGCATAATCAGTCCAGACATGGTCATGTACACTGTGCATCTCAGACCACAAGCCTGAACCTCAGCTAATTGGCATAATTGTCATATCATTTGCCAAAATAATCCTTGGTACATGTTGAAATAACAGAAATGTCCTGGAGCCTGTTTCCAACTGCAGATGTGGGCCAGGACCAAAGCCCTCGCCTGCAAACACAGCTGAGCCTATGTAGAGCTGGTAGCAAGTTGGAACTTTCCAGAAGTGCCATGTCCACAGCTAGGAGGTTGTTTTGTGTGGGGATGTTCTCAGCTTGTTCTCTGGAGAAGGGCCTGTGTGTACTTTAATAACCAGCTGGAAGGAGAATAAGAGGAAGAACTAAACACTCTGTACTATGGTGGCGAGTGCTGCAGGCAGGCATGAAAAGGTGAGTGAGTCCTTGCTCCAGACACAGGTTGTGTATTTTAGTAGATAGATCCTGGCCACTGTGGTGGTGCTCTCATCAAGTGTCCTAGGACAACCCTGGCTAGTGCAGAGTCAGTCTGGCCACAGCACAGAGGCACAGCTTCAACACAACATCTTCATTGACAGCTGATGTTATTTTGAACCACTTCAGGTAAATGAAGAATGAAGTCTTAGGCTTCAGTATTAAAAACAACAACAACAACAACAACCACCCAAAACCAAAAACAAAAACCCCCCAAAAAACAAACAAAAACCCAAACAACAAAAAATCAAGCAAAGTAAAATTTTTGAGTTTTGGAGAAACCAGAATCACTCTTGGACAAAAAGTGGCTTTAACTCCACTGACCTCAGGCAAAATCTGAACCTACCAGTGTGTGCTAGACTTGTTTTGAACTGGTAGGCTGACAGGAGGAAGATGTGGGGGTGTTACAGAGCTGAGCTGTGGAGGGAGATCCGAGCCTGGCAAAATGGGATTAAGCCTGAACTGGGACTTTGGCAATCAGCACCTCTTCAGGAGAGGACGGAAGCACAAATGCAGTTGTGATAGCTGTAGAATAAAGAGTTTCTAGCACTGTCAAACAGGTCTCTGGATGGCATATCTGGATGGCACATCATCATCCTAGATGTGATGATATTCTTTGTTGTCCATATTCCTACTACTTTGGCTCTGGGCTTCATTTGGCTCTGAATGGTTAAAATGTACCAGAATCAAAACCAAGGGTAACCCCTCCATTAAATTCATCTGTTGGGTTTTTTTTATGTTTAATGCTCTATCTGGAAATTTTAATTCTCTTTGAGGTGATTTCAATCTTGCTGGAAAAGAAAGGTTGCTTAAATAAAATACAAAGTAATAGTATAAGTTTAATAAACCAACACATGTAATTTTAAATGTTCATAAAGTATAGAATTTTTAAATTGTCTTCTTAGGAATATCTTACAAATGAGAAATCCCAGACTTTCCCCCAGGTATATTTGAGGTCTGATATCAAAGGGTGAATATGTGTATGAATCTATAAATAATATTCTACCACAGATTACCTTAGGCAATGAGGCTTTTATGATTTTAAATGCGTATAGCCTTGTTTACAGCCTACATAATGCAATGATACCTTGACAATTATGCTATTTTAACTATTAAGTTATTATTTTTTAGGAAATGCTGTCTGAAAAACAGACATTGGAGATGTACTTGGTTTAGAAGCCCAGACTCTTATATATATTTAAGTCCAAGAACCTGATGAATTGCTGCTGTCAGCTACATGCAAATTATGCCTTGAAGCAGAACTTTTGCCTTCACTTCCAAGACAGCATACAGTTAATGAACCAAACATATGAAATACTCTTACACAACCAAACTAGAAGAGAAAAGAAAATTTTGGACCGGCAGTTCAGAAATATTGTGACTTCTTATAAATATGACCCAAAAATGAACAAAAGCCAGAGTCTATTAAAAAATGAGAATTTGTTGTCAGTGGGAGCACTTTATAGTGGTAACAAGTTAAGGGCAGCAGTTGTGAAAGATGTTGTGGTTTTGATTTAATTTACCATCTATCAGTTCATGTGACTAAAGTTTCCTGTAGTGACTGAACCTACTTTGAAGGAAGCACAAGAGAAACTGAGAACTTGCTGGAGTTAGTTTAACTTGGTTAGAAATTTTCATGTTTCTCTGTATATCTGCTCTGTGACTGTTTCCTCTCAGAGGTTCAAGAGCCCTACATTGACTGCTCTACAGAGTGAGAGCAGCATGCGTTTCTCACTTATTTTGGCATGTTTGGGATACACTGGGGATGTGTGGGAATAGAGCAGCAATTTAATTTTTTTTTCTCAAGGGTTGTTTTGTTGAACAAAATTACTCTTTACAGATTACTGTCTCTGTTTCACCTGATACAGTGCCTCCCAGCTACCACCAGCTACCAGCTACCATGATCAGGACTTCTTACAAAGAACATGAAAAGTGTCTATAGAGCTGTTAAATAGCAAAAAGACACCAGTTTCATGAAGAATGTCATCAAGGAGGACATGGGAAGGGCAAATTTTGGCTCATCTACTACATTGGCAGCTCTAAGAAAAGGAGACCTCAAACATGGGACAGCTATGGGATCTACTAAAAGAAAATGACAGTCACAGAAGAAGAGTATGCTTATCTCTGCTTATGATACAGAAGGTGTGTTGGTATATTTCCCTGCCAATTTTGAATTTCACAAATGATGAATCCAAACATAAGGACAGAAGAGTAAGATAATTTAAGCCCATATTTGGACTTTGATGGTAATGGAGAAAGAGTGGAGAAACTATAATTTTGAATTAGCAAGCTCAATTGATAAGTGTCCAGAAAAGAAGGACCATAGAGACAGAGTCATGTTATCTGTTTTCAAATGTGATCCTTTCACATTAGGGTTGTGGACAGCTGTGTTTGTAGTGGGAAATGATTATTGTTGGTGGTGTTTCCTGTGCTATCCATGGTCCATGGGTAAATAACTCTGATGTCAAGGCTGTCTATTTGTTACCTGTCATAAACAATAGATTGTACTTGCTTGCTTGTTAATTCTATATAAGTCTAGTTTCTGGGGTCACCCTCTTGAAACATACACAGTCTTTCTTCAAGGTGTGTTGTGCTTATAAATGATAAAGCTACAGCCTTTATGATTTTTGTATCATTCTTCTCTAGCTTCTACTTGTCACTTGTTACTTCTCCTGCTGAGTTTGGCAGTTCTAGTTATTGAATTAAAACTTTATATAATTATACTACCACCCCCTAAAAAATAATAATAATAAAAAAAAACCAGAAAAGAAAGCCCTTTCTTTGTTAATGTCTATCAAGATGAGGACCAATTTAAATCAGCCTGGAGCTTTTCTGCTTCAGCATTAATCATGAACTGCAGAAAGCCATGTGTATTAGCACTTTTTGCCATTTATAAGCTTATGTTTTGATGGTGGTAAAATTCAGTAGTTTAGTAATTTATCCTGGAACTAAGCTGTGAACACCAAAAATAATCATGTGCCTTTTGCAATTTACTGGTTTTTGCTTAAAGGATTAGAATTGAGTGCACAAGTACACATTTTCCAAACTGTGGCCATTGTTGACCAGACTTGCACTGCTCAAGATTCCTGTGTATCATTATGGTGAGGGGAAGGCAGTCACAATCTCTGAGGGCAAGGAGATGGCATCTAGCTCTCCTCCCAGGGTGATCTGAAAGCACTTCATCAAATGGGAAAATAACCATCCTACATGCCTGATCTTGACTATGAAATAAATGGAGAATGAGCATTGCATGTAATCATGTTTTTATAATGATTTTGGTGGAACTCTTCCAAGTTATACCAAGGATATAGAATGATCTTATGTTCATGTGGAAAAAACCCACTTTTAATGTGTTTGAAAATGCATACTGAAGTCCCCAGCACTGTGGGTGGGATGCGCTCTGTCTAACTCCAGACACATGCAGAATAGGAATTTGCATCCTAAAAACAGAATGTCACCTGGCAGCCAGAGGTCATCTGAACCCCAGTTAAAAAGTCTACACTACATCTGCAAAGTAGCTTAGGTCAGTCTGCTTTGTAGTGACCTTGTCAAATTAAGCTTTTCTAACTCTCCAAGCAGCTCTTAGGGAACTTGGCCCATGCTCCGCTTTAGCAACTTCTTCCAAGAGTGAAAACACAAAGGGACTGGCCCAGGTTCACAGATGTCCTTCCTACTAACATCTGAGTTCCAGTGCACTTTGCTGCTCGTTATCCCTGTATTATTTCCCTTTCTAGGGAAAAGAGGCCAAAACAAGGGGAAATAGCCTGGATCTTGTAAGTTTTCCAGTCCCTGAGGCAACTTCATGATTACTTTTGTTTTGGTTACAAAATGTACCTGTTTGATGACCTTGTCATCAAGACAACTTTTCCTGCCCACAGAGGAGGTAGCTTGTTGTCTGGGTCCATTTCTTTCAGATAGTGGAGGATGTCAGCCAAAAGCCTAATATGAGACAATTTATACTGAGGAGCATGGGAAGATGCACCAGAGAAGGTCACGCTTTCAGTAAATGTAGTAGAACCTGAACATTCCAAAGTTCCCTGCATCTGGCTCAAAAGGGGAGAAGCTTCTGCGGGTATGAAGATCCTGGGTTAGATTCCCATCACAGACCACTGTGAAACACTGTCTTTCAAAATCAACACTCACTTCATAGGCTCCCTAGAAATGGAACTCCTTTACTCTGGAGGTGCTTGCTGCTTCATTCCTGGCTCCCTGACTCCCCACCATGTTGGTCATTGCAGAGATGAGGGGACAAAAGAGATGAAGTCACAGGGTCCAATGACAGAGCAGATTTCCATGGGAACATCCTTGAGCCAGTTGACTGTTCTGTCAACATATTTCCTAGAACATTCTGTCCTGATAAGTCTGGCATTTTCTGTCAGAGAAATGCCAAATCTAGAAAAACTTCTGCTATGTCAGCTGTATTTTCAAATACATCCTATTTACATTAAAGCTTTGTCTTTGACACACTGTTGCTTTTCAGTAGGAATTAACTGAGATATTTGAAAAAAGCTGCTCAGAGCAAGTAGCCTTGAAAGGCACACGTGTTTGTGTCAACCATAACAAAAGGACTTGGGGTGGTGGCAGGGCAAGACTGTCATTAAATTGATACTAAGCAGTGACTGGGAGCACTTTTGAGTCCTGACAGCTGGGCACCACTTTGCAAGTGAACAGACTTACATCAGGAGAGGGGATCAGGAGGGTCCAGCATCTTAGCACTTCCCTACTGAAGCTGCCAAGGCCTGAGGGAAATGGGGATGTCTGCACCAGGACCCTCTCCCTGGGCACGGTGAGTTGTGCCACTTCAGCAGCCCTAAAGAGAGCAAAGCTGCACTGGAAGGATGGCGTGTGAGCAGTACAAAAGCTGGCATGTATGGATCATTTAAATTGGTTTGCTGCTGTGTAAAAATGCTGTGTACAATGACTGATGTGAAAACAGAAGAGGAGACTTAGGTATGAGCTATGATACTTGGGTTTCTCCAGAGAAAATTGGTTTATCTTCCACTGGTCCATAAATTCAATTTGCCTCTTTGACTTCCTGTATTGATACAAATGGAGTAAATCAGATGACGGCTTAAGCAGACATGTTGAGGTAAGCATTTTTCATTCGCTTTTTTCAATTAAATGAGCTGCAATTGCATTACGGGCAACTCTGCTCATTCAACTCATAAATATTCTTAATGCATTCTGTCTAGTGCAACCTATGGTGACGTAAACAACTGGCCCTCTGACCTGTCCTCTCCATTCTTTGGCATATGCTTGGAGAGTTACATTTTGAATTGGAGCTTTTTCTAGCTGAGATATAGAAATACTGAGAGTTCTTTGTATATCTGCTTTCTTTCTTATATGGGTATAGAGTGTCTAATCGCCAGATGGCCATTAGACCTCAGTAAATTGTAGCTGGAAGCAGGATTTTATAGTAAAGGCTTGCTTTTAAGAGCCATTCTGGTACTGGTTCAAAATTAACTTTCAAAACATTTTATAGGCCATTTTCTTGCCTTAGAGAAGAATGCACTGGAATGAAGAGGAGATCTAAGGAGTGCTGATGCTTTTGCAAAGCCAGACAGAAAAAGACAAAAGAGTGTCCTGCATGATACTGCTAATATGCACATCAAAAATCAATGATGGTTGCAAAGAAAAGGAAAGCAATACTCATCATTATTTCTGTGTTTTTGAATTAATATAAATCTACTTATACTGAAAAATGCTGCTTTATTATCCTCAGTAGAGGTAATTTAAAGCATATTCTACAGCCTACACAGGAACCACTTATTCATTGCAGTTGCAAACAAAGAGAACATCAGGTCTTTCAACAGTATTGTGCTTATTTTTTTGTTTCTTTGTTTTTAGTTTTTTAAAGTGCTCTGGCTGAAAGCTTATCAAATGAGGAGGTTATAATTTAAGAAGAACAGTCCTGTAGTCCTGCTTACCAAAATAATGCAACAGACTTAATAGAGGACTAATTTAACTCAACAGTTTTGGAGCTACTGTGAAAACCAGTTATTGCTTTCTAATTTTAGGTTTTCTTACTTGGCAGTATAATAAATTGCCACTATCCAAATATCCATCTTTCTTCTTACATCTGATAAGTGTGAGAGTAATATAGATATTTAATTTTTTATGTAATATTTCAAGCAAGTATTTCAGTTTGTAAAGCCTATTGCAGCACTGCTTTGGTAAAGAGATGTAGAGGTAATATTTTTATGCAGCCTTAGCAACACACCATAATATTTGCACCATAATGATGAAGTTTAATTTTTCACAGTGGGATATCATTGAATTCTATGGTATTTTCAGAGCATCAAGTGTTCCTTAGAATTGCAGAAAACTTTCCTGCTGGGGTTGTGAAGATTCACAGAACACTTCTTTTAATTTACTCTGCCCTACAAGTTGTGTATAGTCCAGATGCTCTGAGATTACTTGGCAAGACCACTAGGAATTAGTCACCCTGCAAGCCAGAGCCCAAGTCTTCCATCCTTCAGGTTAATGCTATAATCTGCAGGCTACAAAATAAGATATTTAAATTTTTCTTTGCAGCCCTGAAAGCTCTGATCTTGGCTGCTGAGCTGCAGGGAATTAATGGGTGTTTTTCTTATTCAGAACATTGTATAGTTATAGGGGGAGGACCCACTCCTGAGAAACATGTATTTTTAACCCAGTTCAGGACCTAAATCTTCTTCCTGAGAGCATCTCAAGGTAGGAGATTCTGCTAGGAGAGGATACCTCAGTCAAGACTGAAAGGGCCCATGTCTAATCTCTAGGATGGAGGCGAAACTTTTAATTAACTAGAATTTGTTCGCTGCTTTCTGTATTGGGCATGTGATATTTTCATAATGCGCTTTGGAATTGTGCCTAATTCTCTCCATTAGTAATCTAAAGCTGCCAGGATATCTGACCTTGTTCTTCTGAGTTGCACTGCACAAGTTAGAAGTGCTTAAACTTGTACTTTGGATCTAACCTTCTACTTGTAACACAGAGTTTTTTAAAAATGTAGAAAGCCATCTTTTTAAATCAAACATAAATGAGGCTGACCTCAAGGCAAGTCCCACAGTGAACTTTGTGTGCTATGTCCTCACTTCAAGAAATTCTTTTTCAGATTGGCATGACATCAACAAAATGTAGAAGAGTAGCTGAAGAGTACAGAAAATTAAATACTGACACTGGAGAAGGCAAAGTCAAGTTTGGAGACACAGTGCAATCCACCTCTCAAAAAGGGGGCACTTCTGGAAACTTCTCATTGCATAGTGCCACTGGGACGAGACCTTTTCTGCCTCTCAGGCTTCTGTAGCCCCTATCCCTGCTGAGAGGAGCTTGGCATATTGAACTTTCCTGAGACTGCTCATCTGTGTTGGGACACTCCAGTGGGTGGTTGAGCAGAAAGCTGCTGATATGACAGAATGATTTTCCAGAGCTGGACATAGGAGTGGCCTAGATGATAAAAGCTTTATATCTGAGCTGAAGGTGTTGGTCCAGGATAATGAAAAGGAAATGCAGTCCACTCAAAATTGTTTGCAGCAGTCCTGGCTAATGTTTATGCCACATAGTGTTTTCTGAAGGAGTTTTTGAACTTTAAAAGGAAGAAGGTGAGTGGCTTGGTGACATATTTCCTATATAAAGATCACAAAAAAGTTTGCATTTACCAAATAATGCACTTACAGTGGGTCCTACAGATGCTGTTTAGTTGCAAATGGGACGTGCAGTGACAATGTACACAGTGTGCTGTAGGAATATTGTGCAAAGATGAACTGTCATTTCATTTCACTAAGAAGCTGTAGCCCAGGCTGTGAAGGAGAAAGTGCATCCTGCCACTGCAAAGTTCTAGAAATCATCTGCTGAGATGGATTAACAAATTATTTCTTTCTTCTAAAGCCTGCAGATTCTAACAGTTCTTATAACGCTTTAACTCTGTGAAGAATTGTTTCAAAAATTTAAAATAACTTCACAGATACTACTGAATGCTTTTAATGTAGGTCATTACTGTAAATAATGAACAGTTACAGTCTTGTTTTCTAGATAAAATATTAATGCATAACATCCACTTCAGCTCACTATATTAAAAAACCCCACAAATTTTAGGAGGTTTGACAGACATAAAAGTAAAGAGAAAGTTTCCAGAAAGCAATACCTAAAACACACTTGAAATTCTAGTTAGTCTCAGATTATTCACAGCCCCTAAGATTATGACATGAACTGCTTAAGAACACAGATTGATTTATACTGCTGTAAGAGGAAGCAGAGAGCA